CTAATAAAGAACTGTGAATACCAGTGGCTCCTTTCTAACAACATAATTAAATATATCATAGTCCTTTCCTTCTCTGGGTATAAATACATCGGTTGCCATTGCTGCCATGCACACAGAGCATGTCTTGCCCGAAACTGGTATTTTACAGTGCTACAAGTGTCCTCTTTTGCATGGGGCAGTCTTGAAATTTGGGTGTTAAAAGTGATCTTTTTGGCCAATGCCCTGAGTGCTTAGTGCGACAACAAAATGTGAGACAGGGAGCAAACAGACAGACTATAGTTTTCTCTTAGTTCATTCACTTCTCTCAAGTGTATTTCTTGGCAGTTCTTTTCCATAGCATCAGGCCAAGCTCACCATCTCAAAGGGTCGTCTCAGAATCACAAAACATCTTATCTGGAACCACATCTTTTCCCTCATTTCATCACCAGTCTGTTCTCGGCAGTCAGCTTTGCTGTTTTACTCCAGATGTCTCCACTAGTCAAGGAAACTATTTGCTTTTGTGCAAAGTGTTCTCCCCTCTTCCTCTATTTTTAAGATGCAATGTCTCTCTTCCACTTGCTACTTCTGCTAGCTTCTCTGTAGACAAAGTGTTGGAAAAGTGTTGCAAAATCGTTCACGCCTCATACCTTCTTTTTCTCTTTACCCATACATAAAATTGCACAAGTGGCCAAAGCTACTGTGATTTTTCTGCTGACTTTTTTCTCAGTTGCAAGTCATACTTTACTAGCTTTAGTGTCATGCACTGAAATCTCCACAGTGCAAAAGCCAGGTATTTGTGGAGACCATTCCGTAAGGTTTTGGTATATTTCATATGTCACAGCACAGTCATACGTTTACTGATGGAAGAACAAGAGGGCTACACAATCCCTATTCCATTTGAGTATGATTTTGCTCGTCTGGCATCAGTATGCTCAATATGGACTGCTTCTACAGCAGCAGTGATCTGCTACTTGAAGTGTTACTTCTTAATGTTTTCCAAGAAGAAAGGAGGTTTATGATCCTTAGGGCAATGATCAGTCCATTTTGTAAGGCTATTTTTGATTGCTCTACCACTTTACATTATTTGAATTATGCCTTTTGCCTCCTTTTTCTAATATCAGATTAGCTTACTTGCTCTGTGACTCCTTTTAGTCTTTCTATTAATTTCTGCTCCTTCTTCTGCTATACCTTCTGTGCAGGTGACATACCAAAAGGCAAACAATTTGCTTTGCGGTTGTTTAGTTAGGTGTTAGTTTAGGTGTTTAGTGCGCCAGCCAAACATGACAGAGAACATACAAGCACCATAACCCACGCTGGGTAGGCTGTAGTACTTTCACTTGATTGCTTTACATTGAAGATCGATGATGAGCATTTGCTTTTTTTCCTCCACTGCAATCTCATTTGCAGGTATTTTCCACCCTTTTAATTACACTCTGATATATGATGCAGCAGAATGCTTCTCTGCTTGTGACCCTTTTCCCGGCAATCATCTCATGTACTAGTAGCGCTGCGATCATGGAGACTTTGATTAGATTTTTGGTAGAGAACCTGTGCACTAAAAACATGACTAGGAAATACATGCTAGCTCATTTTTACATAGTTTTCCACCATTTACATTTTCATCATGATGATTTTAAAGCTTTTTATCCCAGAATTTATTTGCTGAAAACATGTATTCCATGGTCCTGTAGACTCTGATGTTTCTGTCGTACCTGAATTTAACACTGATTTCTCCCCTTATAGTGAATGAGTACCGTCCAACTAATGCCAGTGAGGCCGTCGCTGTTAATACTAGGGTACTACCTGGTGTTTCTGACTTAAGATGAAGACCAATTAGGCTTGAGGTCAGCTGTTCATTTTCCAAGTACTTCTTCTGGTCCTGTAAAAATAGCTGCAGATTTTTATTTTTCTGTATTCTGGGGTAAGCCCCCCAAACCATCACTTCAAGGTTTTTCTAGTTAAAGTTATTCTCCAGTTGCATGCAGAGCATGAGCTGGATCATTTTGCTCATCTAGAAAATGTACCTGTTTAATACATGGTACATGAAAGTTTGAGTAGTCCCTACTCTAGGTACTCCCTTTTTAACGTGTTTTCTTTAACTGTGTCTCCATTGTTTTTGCTCATCTAGAAAATGTACCTGTTTAACACATGGTACGTGAAAGTTTAAGTAGTCCCTACTCTAGGTACTCCTTTTTTAATGTGTTTTCTTTAACTGTGTCTCCATTGTCGTCTGCAAACTTGCTATGCCTTCATCACATATTTGTTTGCATGTTACCTCATTGCCTCCTGTTTTGTCTTGGCCTGTTTGTGCGTGATGGGGAAAGGTTCAGTGCAGGCAACCGACTGGTGATCATACCTCTCTTTTGGTTTTGTCACCGTGTCATTGTGCCTACTGCTAATGACAGAGGCATCTGCTTTTCAAATGGGTGACACGCTCTAGCCGCCCTAAAAACTTTTCAGCATTCAGTTATCCTCTGCTACTAATTTTCCGTGCATTTCTTTCATGGCTGTCCTGCTCCAAAAATGGTTCAAGTCCTCCGCATCACATACAGTCGTGTCACCCATTTTTCAGTTATCCCCAAAGGTTTTCAAATTGCCTGAGATTTTCTTTTCTTCCATATATGTAGAGAGAGGTATGTCTGTTGCATAAAGTCTAGTCAGTCTCTCCGGATTCTCAATATATGCGCTGTTGAGCTTGCCACTGAAGATGTGTGTTTTGCAGATACACCTGTTCTCTTCAAACGTGTGATACCCGTTTGAAAACAATCAGCTCTCTAGCTCTCTGGTATGGAGATCGCTCCTCTGTCTCACAGCCTGGGAAAATTAGAGTATTGGTTTCCTCCTCTTTTTTTTTCCAGTTCTTCCCAATGTTTCTAGTTTCAAAGTCCATGGGCAACGTATTTGCCACGCACAAGCCATAGGAGTTAGTTTCTTCTTCTGACAGCCTTAAATGCCTTAACTTAATTGCGTCAAGTGGTGCAGACACACATAAGAGAGGACAAATTAACTGTCAACAATAAGGTTTTTTCACAAATACTCTACTTTAGGAGCTCAGCTGTCTGCCTCTCTCCCACGCTGACACACACACGTGCACACATGCACACAGGAGGAGGGACCAAATGGCTCGTCTTTGAGCCACTTCTATGTCTCAAACGGAGAGTGCAGCAGCTACCTAAGATTGCACCTATGTACAACTGGAATGGGTTTTGCACTTTAACAACCTCAAACATCTCCATTTTCTGAAGCTAAGATCCATCTTTCCTGTTATAAGCATTGTAATTTTAGAAGCCCGATCAGACAGCTTTGCATGCGATTTGCCTTGTGACTATCCTATATTGTAGCTTTTTTAACAAAAGAAAACAAATAAATATACATTTTCACATTACTAAAACTAGACCTTGGGAAATGAAAACAACTGCTGATAAAAATTCACAGTATTCTCTGATAAAGAGGAAGTCTTGTCATAACTTTCAGAGCCACGCAGAAGCAGCAGTAGTGACTTTGAACCACATCTTAGTAGTAGCTTTGGTAAATAACTTTGAAGTTGTCTCTTCTTTGAGGTGGAGGTTGCACCAGGTAACCTTCAGAAGTGCTTTCCTGCCTGATTTTTTTCTATAGGCATATGGCAGTAAGGATGAGGAGCCACATCTTTGATGAAACTTTTTGCATAGGCTTTTCAAACATCCTTGCCTGTCACCGTTTATCTTATCTTTGATGTGATACTTGTAGGGGAAAGATCACGTAACTGAGGTCTGTATTTTGACCCTAAGCCAAATACCCCGACTTATTGCTAGTAAGTGACATATTAACCAATCTACATCTAAAAGAATAAAAATATATTGCTATTCAGTGTAAATAGAAGGAACCACATCAGCTGCAATGATCCTCCACTGCAGCTGCTTCTCCTTTTTTGGTTGTGTGGAAAGAAATAGGGGAGCACTCCCCAAGGAACATCTTGTATCTAATGGCAGTGATTTGGCAGTGAGAGCCTGCTTTTATTAACTGCAGGGTTGTTCAGCGTGTAGCATAGGAATGGAGTCACTGGCAGAAGAATATCCTTATATTTCAAGCCCTCTGGGGAATTCTGCAGGTGGGGGCAACTTAGGACCTGCCTAAGGCTGAGCCTTAATGAAACACCATTTGGAAGGGAAATAGAAGACAAAGTTGCCTTATAGATTAAAAACTCATCAGGGATTTCAGGCAATGCAGATTCAAAGGCCTGGCGCAGGCAGAGAAGAGGTTTGCACCTGACCTGGGTTTCCAAATCCCAAAGAGTCTCCTGGCTGTGGAGACACATTTGCCTTTCTTCCTTATTCCGAAATTCCTTTCCACCAAAATTGGTACGCATGTGTAGTAATAGGCTGTTCTTATTCATCATGTGTGAGAAGAGCACGATAGAAACCATCGCAAAGAACAGCAGAAGAGCGCATTCAAACTATGCATTTTAGAAAGAACAAATTTATATCCAGAACTCTAAAAATTCACCCGTAAAGTTAAGCCACAAGCATTTAAAGTCAGGAAGCTTTTAGCCACGAAGAAACGATTCCACGTGCATCCCTGTTCACCAGGTGCCTGTTATTAAAACAGCACCTAAAATATCAAATGAGTAGTTCCCAAACTAGGATATTCCATCAGGAAATATTTCAGTGAGAGATGTGAATTGGCTGCTGCCAATATGTTCTGATTCAACCATAATTCCGTAGGAATGTTTACCTTCCTTTAAATTTAATGTAAATTTAAGTCTACCCTCCCAAACTGATCACTGATTTGCAGCCTATCAGCGATACACAGAGAGGCTGAAGCAACGTCGGCTTTAAGACTCAAAACTGCGAGCCCCCCTTCTTGCTGCTGGCTGGCAGCGGAAACAGCATTGAGACCTGCGGGTCTTGCACAAGCCTGGGGTTTCTTCTCCATCGCGGACAAAGTAATTGGCATTCCCAGGGTGACTCAGAACTGAGAACAAATAAAACGTTAATGCAGCAATCTTTTTTAAGGACTGTCACTGCGGCGTTTGTTTGCAGCGTGGCAGTGACAGCTTTGTGGAGTGCCACAAACATATGTGTTGGCGAAGGAGGTGCCTGACAGTAAACAAGCCAAACGCAGCCACTGATGTGGAGCCAGAAATAAAAGTGCTGGTGAACGTGAACCACAGCTTTCAAGTAGCCGACTACTCCTCCAGCACCCCTTACCAACGCGATTCTGTCAGAACTTTTACCTTCTATGTCTTCAGGTGTGGTCATGCATCATATCAAATCACGTTTAGGGTTATTTACTATTTATGCAATCGTAAACCTAACATCTTTTGAAAGGTATTTTGAAGCACAACTCAACAACAGAGCCCTGGTTCCCTGGCAGGCTTCGCAAAGGCCCGCGCCCCCAGCCGGATTGCAGTGCACGGCCCCCTCCCCCGCGCGGGGCCCTGGGACCGGCTTCCACCGCCTCGCAGACCAACACG